TAGTTTCGTTCAATTCTTAACTTGTAACTTCCAATTAGTACATATTAGGTATATTAGGGATTTCTTGTACGGTAAGTAGTTAATTTCACTCCCAAAGATCAATCTTTGGGGGAGGCCTATGTCCAGCAGTGGACGTGTTTGGGCTGGGACGAGGTAATTTCATCTTTGATACATCGATAACAAAGATATAGTACTTCTTATAACTACTCTACTATTACAATTAGTGCGAAAGATTGTTTGTATGTGTTTGTTTGTTTGTTATTACTTCACGCTGAAACAGCTGGACAGATTTGGATGAAATTTAGTACACAGATAAGCCATGGAATGACACATGGCGCTGTTTGCATAGATATTTTTCACAAGTATCCTAACAGTGTTATAAAAACATAATTCACCTAGGAACAAGGCCCAGTGAAGCGAATGTAAATCGCTATTATGTTCATATTTTACCTTTTCAACCGACTTCAAAAAGGAGGAGGTTCTCAATTCGACTGTATGTTTTTTTTTTTTTTTTTATGTTTGTTACCTCAGAACTTCGTCATTTATTAACCGATTTGGACAATTTTTGTGTCGTTTGAAAGGGTATACTTCCAGATTGGTCCCATTTAAATTTCAAAAAAAAATACCACCCCTAAGGGTGGAAAAACAACGAATGATGAATTTAACCTACTTCTAATTGTCATATTGACTTGAAACTTTGCAAGTATTTCTATTTCCGTTGATAGTACATAGTTCGGTGTTGTTGACCTGATCTGATGGCAAGGCCAGAAGGTGGATGGTGAAATTCTTCAACGGCTAACAGTAGATACTTTGAGTTGGGCTTATTTTGTTTGATTTGACAAGCCTAACACGTTAGAATCCTTACTTTTACTACTGTCTACACTAAAAAGGGAAAAATAAAAACTTTTTAACAAAAAAATAAAAACCGACTTCAAACAAAAAGCACTAAAAAGTACTGATTGGTAGTTTTCATTTACTATACATACCTAATCAAATATTTTCGAAGTCGGTGTGCTTTGGCTAAGTAATTAAAGCCTACCTATTAAATACATACCTAATCCAATATTTTCGAAATCGGTGCCAGCCCATACAAAGCAAAGCACACCGACTTCGAAAATATTTGATTAGGTATGTATAGTAAATGAAAACTACCAATCAGTTATTTATTACTTTTTAGTGCTTTTTGTTTGAAGTCGGTTTTTATTTTTTTGTTAAAAAGTTTTTATTGTATGGAATGAAGAACCAAAATACTTTTTTTTATTTTGCTTTAAACACACAGTACTATCGTGATAAAAAGCAACGAATTATATAAAACTAGCAGAACCCGCGACTTCGCTCGCGCTAAAATTCCAAACAATCTGTAAAAAGGTAGTTTCATACAAACTTTCATCCCCTCCCTAATTTACCCCCTTATGGAATGAATTTCGAAAAATGCTAAAATACGTAATTATTTAATTTTATTGAAGAGTATTAATACGAAGCTTCGAATAATTCTGATCATAAATATTTTTTTGAATTGTATTATAACGTGTTTTCCCGTGGGAAAGAGATAATCTCCCGCGGTAAAAAGTATAATAATGTAGTAGCCTATGTCACTCTCCAGCCCCCTATCTCCACACGAAAAAATTACGTCAATCCGCGTCTCCGTTTCGACGTGAAAAAAGGACAAACAAACACACTTTCACATTTATAATATTAGTATGGATTTACAGGCCAGTATAATTTATTGTCTTGAATTCCAATAAATGTAATTGAAGCAAGTATACGTAGATGCCATCTGTTGATACATAAGTGTACTGCACAATATTCGACGCTAGCGTTACTCTAAGGCAACACCAGATGGCGTTTTGAAATATGTATTTACAAATTTTGTATTAAGATTTCATTAAAATTTACGAATACACTAAAATTAGCATTTTTATAATTTATTTATTTTCATTTATTAATCTATACATACGTGTAATATAATGTTGAACAGAATCTGTACATTAAATATTTTTTGGAAAATCTTATTGAAAGCCATTATTATCAATACAGAGGCCGAATCTATAGTTTTTAGAATGTTTGTGTCTGTCTGTCTGGGAACGCATCAGGAGAAAGCCACGGGACGGATATTAATGAAATTTAGTATGATAATAGCTGATTGTCCGGGTCAACATTTAGGATACTTTTCAATGCATGAAAATATCTCATCTCTGAGAAATCTAGGTATATTAAACCTTAAAAGATCAAGGTAATAAAGAGAAGATCGAGTCGCTAGTTTTCTTTAAATACCAAATAGAAAACTTTATCAGCCCTTCATATTATATTTGTATGCTCTCATTCATTTTGGAATTAATGAAAAGATACTATTATATTGCTAGCTTAATATTAAGTATATACTATATTCCAAGCTCTTAATCAGGGCTGATGAGGATTTCACTTCTTAAAAATTATAAGTTTATGTATATCAATAGATATCTGATCCCATTTAATTTAAATCACCTTTTTTTTTAATTTTAATCATCAATCTCTGGTTTAGGTTTAGTACACCCGATATACCTACCACTCATCATCCACTTATAAAATAAACAAATATCAATAAAACATCTGAGTGGTTTACGTGAAACTTTTACGAGTATATTTATTTAGTTTACGTTGAAATTTTATAAACGTGTACAATTACAGGACAATTTACAAATATTATATTACATGATTTTATTACAAAATTCATCTAAGATACAATAGTTTGTAGCGCCCCGAAGCAATCCGCTGTCGCTCAATGCGCCGTCATACTCAAGTCGTTTGTTTCATTAAAAATATAAATTGAATAAATAAATGTCTATAAAAAATATAGTAAAAAAATAAAATATTATAAAATAATTCATGGGAATACATTAAGTATGCGCTCGCGCAGAGAGCAAGGCGTCGTTGAGCCTCAAACTGTCTCAAATACTGTTTTTAAACATTTAAACACTTAATACAACGGTATTAAGTGTTTAAAAACGTTTAAATATTTGTGTTTTGACTCCTGCAGTGTCCGAAGCAAAACTGGCACGTTTGTCCGCTCAGAGACAGAGTGGGGCTCGGCACTAACTGACTGACTTCCATTGTATGTACTGTGCTCAAACATTTACCTACTTAGTTGTACTAAAATATAATACTTTTTAAAAGCAGCGAACCGACTTACATATATACATATTTAAAATATCCATCAAACTGTTAAGGCACCAATAAGAAAATATTACCACAATACAAGTCATTTGGTGCTTGTTTCTAAATAATATCATACAAATGTAGAGTCAGTTGCAAGTTAGAATAAAATGTTGGACTTTGGTATCCATTGTCAGGGGATAATTAATCTATACGTATAACAAAATTCTAACGGAATCTGTACATTAAAAGTTTTTTATAAAATCTTATTGAAATAGACATTATTATCGATAGAGGCCGAATCTATAATTTTAAGAATTTTTGTGTCTGTTACTGCATCACGGAAGAACCACTGAAGGGATTTTGATGAAATTTGATATCATAATAGCTGGTTATCCGGGTCAACATACAGGATATTCTTTACTGCGGGAAAATATCTCATCTCTGAGAAATCTATACTAAACGCTAAAACGTAAATTGTAAAACTAGTTCGTTAGTAGAGAAACGTTGCCACAGTACAGTGAGTGCTGCGAGAGGTCGCATCTAGTTTCAGATGCAGAATAAATATTAAAAACACTACAGCTGAGTCCAGCTGAGCCAACTGCAAAAGAGACGTAGCGACTGACACGAAACTAAAGCAAATGAGTATTGGATGCCTTTTGACAATTTCCTAATCATTCCATACATTCAATCTATATTTTAATTATTAACATCTATCAAAAAAGTACTAGATGCACAATCAGCGACAAAAAATGTCCTCACCGAATGAGCGCTCATTTAAACATATTATGAGCGCGCTTTTAATTAAAAAGAAAATGTAATAACAACTTTAAGCATTGCATTTAAAGTTTAATTTACAGTAAGTATTATAGTAATATATTTATTTCAACTAGAATAATTACCTAAACGCAATTGGTGACAGTTTTAAGAGAATCTTTGCATGGGATTGTGTAACTAAATACTTTTTTGATCGATGATTATTAGACATTTTTACAAATAAATATACAGGATTTCACCTTAGGCTATATGTCACAAAAGCTAATTTTCTTGCGATTTTCTAACAAAAACAGCAAGTGCGTAGAAATTAATTCATCTAACTATATCTAGGTACATCATTCGCCGCCGCCGCCGCGTCGCGACCGTTACATACATTTAACATTACAAGTGTAAATTGAGATTCTAGTGTAAAAACACTGAGAGTAACATATACATACGTACGTCGCAATAATTAGGTGCAAAAATAATATCATCGGATAAAAATGTCGATATAATGCAAAGAGATTCTTTTCAGAGACACGATTTTCTTATTCAACTAAATCACAATAAAAGTTCCCAAACAACGAGTCCGGTGAGTCTACAGTTCATTTGATAACCGTGCGTGTACTGAACTAACGCAAACCGTCCGCCGCAATGTCACAAAATATCACTGAGTTCAAAAGAACACAACTTTTACACTGAGATAGATTAAATCGAGGATTTCAAACGCCGCGCCCGCGCTGTCGCTGGTAACCTTTTTGACATATCAGAATATTCTTCAAATTAAAGATTTTTTTTTATGAACAAGACATTTAAGTCTGCGATCTCTATTGGAAAAATAAAATATCAATTGCAGTCTAAGAATTTATGTTCGTCCGGGGGAGGGGGAGGGGGGAGGGGTCATAGCCAGTCATTTGTGTTCGGTCCAAAGTTGTTACCGAACACCTAAGCAATACCTTAGTAGGTGTGTTATAAATATATAGTAACACTCCTAAAAAAGGCAGTGCATGTTCGGACAGCAATCAAACCGGCTGCATTATACTATAATAGTTAGAAACCAGAGAGCCAAAGTATATACGAGGTTGGAAGGTCGCGGGGGCGCGGTCGCGCTAGCTGGCGCACTTGGTCTTGCCGTCGAGCAGCTTGCGCCAGAGGTCGAACTGCTCGTGGTACTGCACCATGTGTATGGCGATGCCGCGCTGCACGGCGCAGGGGTGCGCCGCCACCTTCTTGTTGTAGAACTCAGGCGCGTGCTGGCGGCGCAGGCGCAGCTTGGCGGCCAGCACGCCCGTCACGAACACATCCTCCAGGCGCAGGTAGGGCTCTGGCGCCGCCGCTTCCAGCAGCGGCCGCACCGCGTCCGCCGTCACCAGGTACGCCGGGCCCGTCGCGAAGTCCGGGAACACCTTACCCGGGAACTGCAGCGGCGACACGTAATACTTCGACTTGGTGGTGCGCTTGGGTAGCGACTTGCGCACCACCTTGCCCCAGATGGTACGCGTGGCGTTTTCGCGCGCCGTCATAAAGCGCAGCAGCCGCGGCACGTTGATGAACATATCGTCGTCGGTCTTCAGCAAGCGCGGCACCCGCGGGCAGTACGTGTCCGTCCACTCCAACATGGAGAGCGTTTTAAGTGTGAGGTTGGAGTACGAGTCGACGAAGCGGCCCACGATGAGGTCCCCGAACAGTGCGTCCTCGGCGTCCAGGCTGGCGCGCAGGGCGGGCGGCGGCGTGCCCAGCACGAAGGCGAGCGCGACGTCGCGGCGCGCGGCGTAGTGTCCCCAGGTGAGGCGCACGGCGTCGCGCGCGGCCGCGTGCGCCGGCGCCGACGTCACGAGCACCAGCAGGCGCAGGCGCGCGCCCAGCGCTGGGCACAGCTCGGCGTGCGGCCGCTCGTGCCCCGCCACGTACAGCTCGCGCGTTAGGACCGGCCGGGGCCCGGCGGGGGCGGCGGGCGGTGGTGCAGGGCGGGCGGGCGGAGATGGCGGAGAGGGCGGCAACGTGGCGTTGCCGACGCGCACTGTGGCGTTGATTAGGCGCGCCGTGGACGCGTCCGCCACGAGCGGTGCGGACGGGGGTGCAGGGGGTACGGCGGGAGGTGCGGGGGGAGGCGGTGCGGGTCGAGGGCGGGGGCGCGGGGCGGGCGCGGGTGCCGAGCGCGCCAGCAGCAGCAGCAGCAGCGCGCCGAGGGCGGCGAGCGCTGCCGCGTGGGAGCGCCGCACGCCGCCGGCCGCGCCTAGGGCGCCCATAGCGCGTCTCACCCGCCCCCGGAGTGCACGACGACCGACTGCGTCTGAAATACACATGCGATAGCTATGAAAATTATACGAGAGGCATTACAAATTACTTTGGCTTTTTTACTGACGCCTCAGTAATTTCACGGATAGTAAAGCTATAATGGAATCGGCTGTATCGACAAATAAATATAGCTCGCAAGTATCATTAACCTTCGCACTATCGATCTGCCAGGTGCTAATATATTCAACTAGATACGCAAAATAATTGCGTAATAATATACGTACAATATCAATGTACACAATTCATGAGCGTCTCAAGGGTGGCGGCTGGTGCCGGCGCAGCCAATCACATCTGGTTTGTTTAAAATGGCTCGATCACGATTTAATGGCATCTATTTGTTAATTAGATGTTAGACACGAAACTCTCATTAAAATAAAATACTAAAAAAATTATTGCTTAATGTTTAAATTTAAACAAAGCGAAGCTGTCTATTGCTTACTGCTTTATAGAAGAAATAAATAGCGTAGATAATACAAAATTAAGATAACGTTCGTGGACCGTGCAGAAGCTGCATCATACTCTCTGCCTATACCTATGTATAACGTAAATATCTTAATATTATTCCAATAACATATTCTCATAATACTGTACATAATATCTATATCAAGAATATTATACTTCATATTTAACCATTAATGGAATGCAACTTGGATTACGGAAAGGTCAACATTTCTGGTATATTTACACTTGTTGACAGTATGGGGACTAATGTACGAGTACATATGTAAATGGAATAGGAAGAATATGAGACATTACTAAAGTTAAAAGATGTGAAAGAAACTGTACCAGTCAGGAATAACACAAAATTCAGGAAAAGATATTGTCTTATAGAAAAGCAAAGGACGAGTACGAAATATTGAGGTGACAAAGGCAGCAGACTGAGCCCCAGTGCTCATTTATCATCGAAACCACACTCCGCTCCCGACAGAACTACGTTATTTACGAGTAATGGAGGATTAGACAAAACGTCTCGTAGATATATGCAAGCCACACCTCGTACTATCAACTGTGATTGATTGTATTACCAAACAAATCACTTGTTGGGGCGAAATCTGAGTTACTAAAATAACGCAGACTTAGAAACCGGCGGTAAGACAAAGGCCAAATACCTGAGCTTTTCGTCATGGGGACGATTAGAGTCGAGTATCCTGTTATTAGATACTTTAAGATAGTCCCAACTTTTCGGGCGAATATAATCTTAAATTCATAAAAAAGCAAACCTCATCGGATACGTTTTTTTAAACGAATTAAGATGCAAAATATAAAAATGGAACACGGAAATGAACACTAGCAAAAACAAGAAAGATAATTTGTAAAAAGTAAAAACAAGATAATCAAAAATAAAAAAAGATCTACGCTCGTTGCGAATTAAATTTGCTCTCGGAAGGTCGACCACTTACCAGAGTTTTTGTTTGATTTTTAAAGGATAATCTTTTACGTGATATTGACAGACTCACCGGTACGCTTTAGCCATAAAAATATTGAATTGGTCAAAATATGGCAAAAATAAAAAGATATACTATACATTGTACTATCCGATCATTCCTTATAATGAACTTCCACTCTAATCCATTTATGTTATTTTTCGTTATGTCTGCAGTAGTTTTTATTAATATTTAAAACCGTATCAACTAAATATGTATGTTTGATCTTAAAATTAAACGTTTTTTTTAAGTGTATCCTGAAAATGTAAATGTCGTTGCCACTGCAGGAGGATGGCGTCTCCAAAGCGACAGGAATGCGCAGGTAGCCGAGTCGGTGGTCAGTGGTCAGCGAGGTCAAGGCCCGCGCCTCTAACGGCACTGCACACACTCACGCGCGCACTCACGACTCACGACACTCGTCAACACACGCCGTGAATAATTTGTGATTCCGTAATTAATCAATTTTATTTATTTTACAGCAATTACCTTATCATTTCGAAGGCGAGATAAATTATTACTTTAGGAAGAAAAACAAATTGCAGTAGATATTTAACTTTTGAGTCGTTCTATAAAATTCGATTAAGAGTATGTACAGAATAGTTTCTACAATTATACAAAATCGGTCAAGCACGAATTTGATTTGCGCACCGAAGGCTCTGCACCACCACCGTGCTGTATATTTACATAAGAAATACTTAAAATATAATATTTGATTTTATACTTCACACGTAGTGTTTGAAACTCTTAGAGCTTATCCAAATCTCCCTGAAACCTGAACCTAAAGGGCTCAGATGGCCATTTTTTTATGGTATTCAGTGACAAACGAGCAGACAGCCCACCTGATGGAAAAGGGTACCTGTCGCCCATAGCACCTACGCTTCTTCATGCACTTAGGTTTTATGTTACAAAAATGCAGAACCGCAGGTGCGTTGTCACTGTGAGGATTAAGATGATATGCCTCTTGCCTGTAATTGCGCTGGCTGTCTTATCCTTAAAACCGGAACACAACAATGTAATCATTGTTGCTTGGCGGGAGAAATAGATAAGAGGGTGGTACCGAACCAGTCGGACTCCTCAGGCTATACAGAGTCCTACCACCGGTATATCCTTATTGTGGCATGTATGCCGCCAGGAAAGGACGTCCTGAAATTCCAACGTAAAGTTTAGACGACAAATAATCTTCTGAGCTTATAGATATAATATAAGTATATATCCGAAAAGTGGAATTTAAAAACAGGTGGTTTTGAACAGGTCGGTTTCAGCTCTGGCTCCTATTCAAACATCTCGTATGTGGCACGTCTGCGACAACTAGAGGCTGCAGTAATCAAGTCATCAACAGCCACGCCACCGTTTTTATCCTATTACACCTTATAAGTGTATTGAAATGTTTGTCGAGTTTGAATGTAATCTAGGTGACGGCAACGTAAATAATTTTTTTGAACAACAAATAAGAACCCTAATTGGATGGATCCACTGATTGCTTCATCACGAGTCACGACATTTGCTTGTTTGTATTGCGGCGCGATTAGATTCATTCAATTGTGAAATATTACAGTATAAAAAAATCTCTACACATTTGTTAGTAATTAGAATCCTTTTGACTTTTGTACTTCCGGATCATCTGATACACACTAGTACTTAAAATGTTAACTTTAGATATATCTTGCGACGTATTTTTTTTTTGTAAATGCGAATAATATAATACGACACATGTATAAACACTTTACAAAAAACCGACTTCCAGGCATTAAAATGTAAAAATAACTAAACGGGGATTTTCATTTAGAATAGATACCTAATCAGATATTTTCGAAGTCGCATAGGAAATCTGATATATTTTGATACGTAAAATACATATTTACCTATTAGATATTCATATCTTAAAATATTGTCCGCTGGCACCGACTTCGAAAATATCTAATTAGGTATCTATTCTAAATGAAAACCCCCGTTTAGTTATTTTTTACATTTTAGTGCCTGGACGGTTTTATTTTTTGTTAAAAAGTTTTTATTTTTAAATTTTTAGTGTAGACGTAATAAGCAGGTAATTTGTAGGAAGAAAGTTTTTAATAACATATTCGATTAAATTATTCGATAAACAATTTATTTAAAAAATATATTTATTGTTGATTTTTTTTAAACCGCTTGACCGATTTTGATAAAATTTAAATGGGACCACCTGGGAAGTATACCCTTTCAAAAAAAACAAATATTTTCCAAATCGGTTCAGACGTCTTCGAGTACTAGGTGAACATACATAAAAAAAAGATTCCGACGAATTGAGAACCTCCTCGTTTTTGGAAGTCGGTTAAAAAATTCTATTATCGAGGAGTAATCAACGAAATATAACGCTCAAATGTAATAACACAGAACATTTACCGCATTTACAAGAAATTAATATAAATAACTAATTAGGTCGCAGAAATACATAGAATTACTTTACGTTATTATTTTCATTTTACATTTGTGGAACTTGTCTTATAGTTTTTAGAGAACTTTGATCGCAATAGTGAAAAGCACATTTAGAACATCGGTAAGTTTTTGAAGAAAAAATCCATAAACTTTGTTTTCTTATTTATTTTTGATAAGGGTTGTGTATTTTTAAAGATTCTATTACTAAATGGTTTAAATGGTCGCGTCCTTGCATACATGATACACGCCTTACACAATACGTACGTATGTCTACTTAGAACTAACAGATGTACAGAGGTAGGTATACGATTGTTTATACCGTACAAAGCGCAAGCATCAATATTGCTATATTGATGATAGATTGTTATGGTTTAGATCTACAGGACAGTATCCATAGTGTATCACGTCTAACGTACACACTGTGTGTGTGTGTACTACTGTTCAATTCCATTATGTATTCAAATGATTTCATCAGTACCAACTTTACGTGGAAAACTCCGATAATCCAATTGCGAGCGGCAATGTGGCTGATGCACCGACACTTGCCCGCATGATGCGACCCGCAGAGTATGTAATGGAAATTATTCGTTCAATGTGCATATAAATGAAGTGGCGCGGTATATTGAATATAAAAATATGTTATAGCCACATGATATGAACTTATTGCACTTATAAAAATTATCGCTATAAAAAACAGGCGCAATTTAAAAGATAAAGCAACAATATTACATTTCCGACTGATCAGTTCAGGACTTCTGCACCAATTTAAATAACATTGTATAAAGGACCAATTGGCTTTATGATTTCATCTACATAGCTTATTTTAATTCCAGGCAGTCAAGTAGAGTCCCAAGTTTTTCGTACTATGTTGTAAGTTGCAAATTTAAGCTTTTCAAGCTAATAACAAAACGTGATGTAAATAAAGTTTTCCGGCATTGTGTTAAGTATTGAGGAAGTTTGTCATTCAGGTAATTAATAGATATACATTTAATCCATTATATTGCACGAATATTAAGTAAATTACGTAATGATTATGATATCATAAAGTAAAAAATCGTCATTAACATCTACTCACTGTTCCGAGACGTTACGTGAAACTGCTAGGTTTTGTGGCCGATATAGCCGTTGAAGCAGTCACAAACCAGGGTTGAAGCATTATAATATTATGTGTC